CTGCACTTGTCGGTAAGACAGAGAAGGGATTGCAGTTTATCATTCATCTCGGCTCGCTTCTTCATTCTGGCATCTGTTGAGGTCGCATTTATACGTTGTAGTATGGCTTCGAAGATATCTTCAGGTAAGGATGAGAAGCACTGGTTCCTAAGGTCGGAGATTATTGTCTCAAATCTAGAAAGTCGGTGGTGCACGTCTGATATAATGGCACTCAAAACACGGAATCCGTATTTGCGTGCGAGTAGCCTTCCTGTCTCATTTGGTAGAGTGGGCTTGAAGCGAAGAGACTTCGGTAAGATGCCATGATCGCGACAGCGGTGAAGGAAAGTCAGTTGCTCGGATGTCGCTGCCTGTCTCTGTGAGAATTTCTCCCAGCGTCTGGTAATAATAAGCGTATGACGCCCAAAATTATGATGAATAATGGAGGTAGTATGCATTCCGAGGCGATATAATAAAAGGAGAAGGCTTGTCGGAAAATCGAGGTATACTCGTGAATTTTCAAGTCGGTTACACCAACCCGTCGTCAGACGAAAATGAAAAGTGTGAGGGAGATAATCCTACTGGGGAGTCAGGGGGACATCGAGGTTACATCGACAAGACAGGAGTTTATGTGTGGGGGTGAAGAACGTGTTTGGATAGGTGGCGGACTTTAGGGATGGTGTTGGGGGTTTCACACATGGTTCACTCTGTGGGGGAGGTGCTGAATCCATGATATTCTACATGGTATTCTACATGACATTCTACACTTCTCGTTCGTTTTGGATTACGTTGAGTTTCAGATCGACCTCGAAATATTGCTGAATACTTCATGATTTTCAGTGTTTTCACCCGATCCCCCATAAAGGCAGATTCTGAATCAATTGTCTGTTGAGAACTTGAAATAAGATTATTCTTAAAGGCATTTCCCGAATAAGTGAGTGTTCGAGAGCTCCCTTTCACGAAGCTGGTCGTTTGGGTCACATGTGAAGCAAAATCGTGGTTCAGTTCTCGTATGTGGCCATAGACCAAAGACAGCTTGTCTTTGCGGTTGATTGCAAGTTGGTGTTCGTGCAGTCTTGTACCGAGGCGTTTGCCCGTTTCGCCAACATACGTCGCATTACAATTTAGGCATAGTATGCTGTAGACCACCGGCGACTTTTCTGTTGTTGGTAGTGGGTCTTTAGACTTCGTAGTTTGCTGTCTGATGGTGCCTTTGAGAAAAATAGAGTAACTGGTCGAGCCAATGAGATGATTGCCAGACCGATGCTCGAAAGTTGGCCCTCGAATGGCACGCTCAACTGATCTATAGATCTACATCCAGCCTACCAGACGCTGCGTACAAGGCTCAGATCAGTCCGGACAGGACCAGCAAGGCAAGCGAGCACGCGGTACCAAGAGTCAACGCTTGAGGGCCAGAGGTCGTGTGACCAAAGCCGAACACTGTCTTACCGATGCGCCCGCGAATCTGAATGCTGCTCACATTAACAGCAACGACCGATCAGTCCACCGGCTAACAACTACAAATACGCCGACCCCAAGGGAAACAAAGGTCACGAAGGCCTGTCAACGGTCAGTCGGGGAGGTCTAAGCCAGTCAGCGGCAAACAAACAGGTCAAAGTTCGTGCGTCGAGCACGGCTATAACACGAGGCAAGCGGCAAAACTTAACAACTCGAGACCGGCAGGTGCAACAAATACGCTACTGTGATGATGGAAACGATTAAGTTTCCGAAACGTCAGTTCGAATACAATATGGTCCACGAAATCGCACCCTCTTTTTCTTCGTCTTCTTCTGGAGATGACGAACGCGATATATATATATATATATATAGCAGCGAGGAGGGACGACAGAGAATGCGGGTAGATTGATACAGCACTGTTTCGGGCTTATTCTGCCTTCATTCAGCCAATCATAACCCTGACCACCAGCAGCTGAGACCAGAAACACAAACATGCGCACAGACGCACCTGGCGCAGTCGGTCCACCACTGAGGCCTACCAGATGGGTCATAAGCACTTCATCGAACCGAAACAGTGCTGTATCAATCTACCCGCATTCTCTGTCGTCCCTCCTCGCTGCTATTATGACTTGGCCGACTTCGGCCTGGTAATTGGTTGCCTGTTCGTGACCTTTGCCACACATACGGAGCTTGTTTGCTTTGTGAA